CAATCTTAGAAATGGAGGGCTGGAAGGGACCTCAAGAAGTCATCAAATCCAACTCCCTGTGCTGTGGCAGGGCCAAGTAAACATAGACTGTCCTAGACAGGTGTTTGTCCAGACTGTTTTTAAAAACCTCCAATATTGGGGATTTCACAATGTCCCTTGGAAGCCTATTCCGTAGCATAACTACACTTATAGGTAAAGTTTTTCCTAATATCTAACGTAAATCTCCCTGGCTGCAGATTAAGCCTATTACTTCTTGTCCTACTTTCAGTAGATATGGAGAACAACTGATCACCCCCCTCTTTATAACAGCCCTTAACTTATTTGAGACTATTAGGTCCCCCATCAGTGTTTTTTCTCAATACTAAATATGCCCAGTTTTTCTAATCTTTCCTTATAGGTAAGGTTTTCTAAATCTTTTATAATTTTTGTTGCTTCCCTCTGGTCACTCCAGTTTGCCCACATCCTTCCTAAAGTGTCGTGCCCAGAATTGGACACAGTACTCCAGCTGAGGCCTTACCAGTGCCAAGTACAGCGAGACAATTACCTCCCATGTTTTACATGTGATACTCCTATTAATACACAGCAGAATGAAATTCGCCTTTTCTGCAGCTGCATCACATTGTTGACTCTCATTCAATTTGTCATCCACAAAACCGCCCAGATCCTTTTCAGCAGTATTTCTACCTAGCCAGTTATTCCCTATTTTGTACGTTTGCACTGGATTTTTCCTTCCTAAGTGAAGTATTTTACGCTTGTTTTTATTGAATTTCATCTTGTTGAATTCACACCAATTCTCCAATTTGTCAAGGTCATTTTGAATTCTAATGCTGTCTTCCTAAGTGCTTTCAACCCCACCCAGTTTGGTGTCATCTGCAAATTTTATAAGCATACTCTCCACTTTGTTAGCCAAATCATTAATGAAAATATCAAATAGTACTGGACCCAGGACTGGTCCCTGTGGAATACCACTAGATGCGCCCTCCCAGTTTGACAGGGAACATTGAATAACTAGTCTTTGAATACAGTCTTTCACGAGTTGTGGACCCACCTTTTAGTAATTTAATCTAGACATTTCTCTAGTTTGCTTTTGAGAATGTCATGTGGGACAGTGTCAAATGCCTCACTAAAATCAAGATATAACGCATCTACTGCTTCGCCCTATCTACTAGGCCAGTAACCAACCAAATTTCCTTGTTTGACAGGGCTATTCCTTATCACCCTATTATCCTCCAAGTGCTTACAAATTGATTGTTTAATAATTTGTTCCAGTATCTTTCCAGCTATCAAAGTTAGGTAGACTAGTCTATAATTCCCTTAGCCCTCTTTGTTTCCCTTTTTAAAATTAGATATGATGATTGCCCTTCTCATGGAGAAAGAGCTAAACACAAGGGGTAGCTGTGGCAGCACAAGTGGTAGGATGGACTAGGTGTCCTGAGTACATGCCTAGGGTCTTGGATGGGTACAAACTTGGGGCAGGTAGCCACACCATCAGCTTGCGCTGCTGCAGCAACATTTTATTTTTAGCACGGTAGCTCTGCAAAAGCTATAGCCAGTATTTCTCCTTGAGCTGGGAATCACACCCCCAGCTCAATGGGTAGGTATATGCTTATGTGAAGTTTGAGTCTGCACTGTAGCAGTTATAACAGTCTGCGCAGTATGTCCATGGTCTTGCTCGGAGTCGTAGGAGATGATTTTATTTCTCCTGCCAAACATCTCTGCTCCCATTTACTCCATCTTTGTACAAGGGCCAGAATTTAATTAAAGAATTGCATTTCAGCTTTCACTTTATGGAATAATAATACAGATGTAAATACTAAGTTATGAAAAAAAGTTTAACTTCTCTTTCTCTCTCTAGCATACAAAATGCATATGCTAATATCTGTAATTATACATGTTTCCTGTTTGCCTAGAAAAATAAATAAATAGATCTTAAGTTACAAATCTAAATTTTACATTCTCTTACACCCTTATGATCCCAACCAAATCATTAGGGTTCTGTGGGTGTAACTGAGTGCAGAATCTGGCCCAGACATTTTGGAACACCTCTCTCTTCTGGTTTACATATGCTTACTAGTTGTGAAATTCTTCCCTGAGTAATGTAAACCACTGGAGATTTTTGTATTGCATTTATTCTTCATGCAGTCTATTAGGATGAAATTAACTCATGTGCATACAAAGCCCAACTCTATTTAAGGGTACCTTTAGCACTTAGCAAAGAGCTTAAGTGTGACGTAAGTGGTGCAAAAGCTTTCTCCTGGACCTCTCCACAGGGGTGCATTTCACTTTAATAGAATGCAAATAATAATAATAATAATTAATAATAAAAATGCAGTACAGAGTCACCAGAGAGTTTTACATTACATTATTGAAATCACCAGAATGGTGCAGAAGTTGTATTCACATACTGTGGTTCTATAATCAAAAGAAGTTGAACACTATTGTCTGGGAGGGTTATGGTCCAATATGATTCTAGTATATTCTAGTATATATTGCTACATATCAAAATCCAATTTTTAAAGCATGAAAACATAGTAATATGCAGTAATATATGGTATGAAGGGTATGAAGTTGATTTTTTTAAAAGTTAAAGTTATAATTTTGAGACTGGCAAATTGAATGGCTGCTAATTAACAGTTTGCCCATTCATAACCGAATATGTACAACTAGTAGTGGGAGAACCGTTTGGAAAAATTGTAGCTGTTCCCCTGAAACATTTGTATAGATTAACATTCTCTTAAAATCCTTGTTTTATGGGAAATTTTTCAGATTACAATAATCTATTCATCTTTATCATATGAAAGTAAAATTAAATATCTCAGAATTGTAACCTGCTTGTTTAGATGCATTTGCTAGAGTACTCGCTCTTTTTCTCCTTCTCTGTCTGGAACAGAATTGATCAAATATCAGAATTTTCATCTCATCATAAATTTCAATATTTTCAACCTTTGTTTTGACAACATAGACATTTTCCTATGAAAAACTTTGATTTTGTGGAAATCACATTTTCTGATTTGTGGAAATCAGAAAATCCCTGTCAGTTCTTCACTGGAATGCTCATTGATTGTGTGGCAGAAAGCTGGACATCTATTCTTTGTCCAGGGTTAAGGTACTTCTATAGCTCCCCACAGGACGTGATCCTGCAAGTTGCTTAGCTTTTCCTGATGGCAGCTGAGTGTATTTAGGGGCAGATTTAGGTACCTAAAGGTGCAGTGGGGATTTTCAAAAGTGCCTAAAAAAGGTTAGCTGCTTAGCTCTGGAGTACCTAACTATCTGCATCTTTAGGCACCTAAATACCTTTGGAAATCTGCTTCTTAGTACCTTGCAGGCTTGGGCCCTTTATTTCTTGAGTTGCTCCTGATTTTTATTACAGTGTCACTCACCCTTACTAGACATCTTACTTGCTGCTAGGCTTTCAGTTGTCAGGCCTTCTTTTACACCCCCCTTAGATGCCTGGAGTTTTCTGTCTGTGGCTAGGTTCCCCAACTTTCTCCCCTTCTGACCTGCCACTTCCCACCCAATCAGTTCAACATTTTTTTCACCCAAGGTATTTATGTGTGTCTCTCCCTCCCCTCCAAGTCCTTTAAATTTTACAGGTTTTTTTTGAGATAGGATTTACTCTAATTCTCACAATCAAACCAAAGGAATTAAATGAACTGTTCTTTCCCTTGCCATTCCCTCCCTTGTCTTCCAGAGGGAGATGAGTGGCCACATTAATTAATATATTTTAAATATATGAATGGATATTTTTCTCCCTTACATGCCCTTCTTCTGCTACTAATCCTCTTTTTGCACCTTCAGTGGCAAAACCTGACTATTTTACCGCAATGTTATTATTCACACTTAGTCAGGCTTCCCCTACAAGAATATTAGTTTCCTATAGCCTTATTGCTTGTTTGCTTGTTTGTTTCGGAGACCTGTAAAACAACTTTTAAGTAATAATGTTTGTCCCTCTTCTTAAATGGCTAAAAATACTCAACTCAGTTGAGATTAATAGATAACTGACTGTAACTAGAAAAACAAAGGATGATATTCAAATGAGAAGATGGAAAATGCTGCGAGTCACACCAGGCTGAGAACCACACATCATTACTCATTGTGCTGGTCTACATAAGACTGGAAGAGCCATATTTCCACATGACCATTGTGCTATAAGGACACTAGTCTAAGGCCTTAATCCTGCAAACACATACTACCCCCATGTATAACTTCATTCATGAGTAATCCCATTAGCTTCACTAGCACCACTAATGTGAATAAACTCATGCATGTGTTTGTTTGCATGATTATGGCTTATGTTTGAACACTTCCTCCTGTCCTGAGCACTTCTAATTTTTATAAATATTTTGTGTTTCTTCCTGCCTGGATTTTATTGGGAATTTCTTCACTTAAAAGTTTTTTTTCCATTTCAATATTTATTTAACAATTTATAATTTTTTGAACAGCCTAAATTTCAATACATTTATTTTTCATGACAAGATACTTTATTCTAGCTTTGGTTGTCATGCTAGTCAATGCCCATTTATGCACATGAGGAAACTTATGCACATGGGGAGTCCCCTTTGATTCACTACTCACATGGGTAAGTTTTTAGGACTGAGGCCTAAAGTTGGCAGCTCCTCACATTGCTTAGGAAATTTCCTTGGTAGATGTGGGACTGTTTTTTAAATAAGGATTTTTTTAATGGAGTAACAACTCTTAACAGAACTTATACGCTGTGAATGGCACAAAAATCTGTCCTCACAATATTCAACAGTAGGTTTAAATTTTTCTAAAATGGATTCTCCCATCTCTAGCTTCAGCTAATGAATGTTATGTCTGTTGAGAATTTGTCTGTTGTTCTAAATAAGTCTTTAATTTCACTTCCATGCTTACATTCTCATACACATGCAGTATGAAACATATGTGATACTCTAATTTAATTCTAACACTTGTTTCATAGAATGCTTCTGTAGAAATGTAAATAATTGTTAGTATTCTGTAATAACAATATATTTTTTTAGCAGGTCAGATTGTTTCTCCACAGTCTGCTCCTGCCTGCATTGAAAATAAAAACGACGTGAGCAGAGAAAACAGCACTGTTGACTTTAGCAAGGTAAGCATTTATTGACTGTGAAAAGAGCCTTCTGACTGGCAAGAAGAAATTTTAAATAAAAAGAGTGGTTTGTGTTAATCAGAGAAAGCTCTAAAAATGTTTCATTTCAATATTATAAATTGTCACATGTCAATGCTACAAAATACATATGTTGCACCTACAATAAAGAAGGTTTTTAAATGTTTCGAATAAAACATTGTTAAAATATTGCGAACAGGAAATCACATTCCAGGAGATTAGACACACTTTTCATTGCATAACACTGTAAGGAGGCAACAGATTGTAGGGAGAGGTCTCAGAAATGAGTAAAGGGCTGACTAAGTAGGAAAGTAATTCAGATTGCTTATCATTTGGACTTAGCATATGTTCTCTTGTGGGAATAATGCATAAATGTAAAATGCCCTTTTTGTAACCTGCTTTTGTGGATTCTGTGTGTCTGAAGAATAATTTGCTTTTGTTAAATGTCTATAACTTCATAGCATTGTGTCACGCCAAGATATTTCAATGCACTTTACAAAGTTGTATAGTAGTTCAGTAGTATGGTTTTTAATGACAAACTAATAATAGAAAGCAAGGAAACACAAGCTAGTCTTCAGTTTTGGTATAAAAAATGTCCCTCATCTTTGGAGAAGGTGCTGCGTGCCTAAAACAAACTTTCACATTAGGTACAGGCATGAGATAGGCATGCCAGCAACAGATGACTTCAACTGGTGCTTGGGTGGGTAAGATTTGAGCAAGTCAGGAAAAGTTATTAGAACTAACATTCTAAAGGGATGTATACAGTTAGTGAAGAATAGAAATCTGAATCTGTTGTGGAATCTGACTGCCAGCCAGTATAATTGAGCCAGCAATAGAGTTATGTGCTCACTCCATCTGGTGCCAGACAGAATCCTAGCAGCAGCAGTTTGTACCAGCTGAAGTCTGTCAGTTTTTTGTGCAGGGGCTAGGAATCAGCCCTAAAAAGGGCAGTACAGTTGTCTACATGGGATGAAACAAAGACATGAAAAGGATCTTTGCATCACTAAGAGAGTGAGAGAGAGAGAGAGAGAGAGAGAGAGAGAGATGAGGCAGCGCTCTGGCTGTCTTTCTACACTGGTTATAAGGAAATTTCACTATAACAGAGACATGTAATTCAAATTGGAGGCCAGTACTAATCCTGTAAATACATAAATATAGGTATCAGTAAACAAATGTATTCCTTTTTAGAGTATAACATTTTTATTCAATGTTGTTTTTAAAAGTGTTAATTGGTGCACAGTAATATTAATATTTTTTGGTGAATGTTCTGTGTATTGAAATGTAACATCTATTGTAAAGGGTAACAATAAAAATAGATTTGTCTAATTTAAATTTTAAAAGTGCAGCGATGAGATCAGCAGCAACCTGGAGAACACTACACCACTTCATTTAATGCTTTTCTCAGTTCTCCACAATCACTTTGAAATTTGAATGTCAGAACCCACTGAACTCATAGTTGTGGGTCTTTGACTCCACAGCTTTCAAAACCAGACTCTGTTTTCAAGGTATGCTTTTCATGCTGAAGGAAAATGGAGACAGCAGATTTTGAACCTTCATTCACCAGTTTTACACTGATATGATATCATTGACTTCACCAGAACTATTCCGGATTCTCACTGGTGTGAGCAGTGGTGCTGGACCAAGAGGTGCTGGGGGTGCTGCAATGCCCGCTGGCTTGAAATAGTAATAACAAACACCGTGGTTTCCACCATCAGCAGCCCTACTATAAAAATTGTTCATGTACTCCTGGGTGTGATAGGGTAACAAGGTCCCACCTTTCTAGCTAATCTTAAGAACCCTCAGTAAGTTAAACACCAGTAGTGGTTTCATGAAGTAGGAAAGAGACAGCTTTTGTTTACGTGGATAAAATTGCCTCATGGAATTTTAACTAGAAGACTTTTTCCTAGCTGTATTTTATACAGTTTAGTTTATCCTCTTAAGCCTGTATATTTAGGGATACAATCTCCCTTGATAAGTGCCAGTATAGTAACTTCTGACAGCAGTAATTGGATAACGTGCTTAGATTGAGGGGAAAGTAATGTTATGCAGAGCACACAATGGGCTTGTCTGCATGGTGTGGCAAAGTGCACTAGAGGGGTGTGATTTCTAAAGTGCACTAGCATGCTGCATGCAAACTGCCCTCTAAAAGGTTCCTACTTCACAATAATATAGTTTCATTTCAAAGAGGACTATGTTAATGCAAATGAAGGTACTTTTAGAGTGCGCCAACAAGGTCTATATGGGAAAGAGTGCGTGATGCATTAGAATGCTCAGCAAATCACACCCTTCTAGAGCACTTTGCTGGTGCCATGTGGACAATACTTTTAAAGTACTTCTCCTGAGTATTGTAATTTCTTACTCTAATTTTGTTCAACATGTTAATTTCATTTTATCTTCTACAAAAAGCGCCTTTGATGCCTCGCTTACACTCTGCCCACTAATCCAGCTCCCCAAGGGCTCCTTCTAACATTCCAAACTTCTGAGCAACTTGCCTCCTCAATCTGGATATCAATCCAGATACAGCACAAAGGCTACATTGGTGGTATTGGTAGAGTACATCTTCCTGTTGATGGATAAAGATCAGGAGCCAGATTCAACACTACAATCTGCCCTTTGATTGCTACTTGAACGCATCAGACCTCTGTGGATGGCTTAGAGATAGTTTAAGGCAGGGGTGGCCAATCTGAACCTGAGAAGGAGCCAGAAATAACCAATGTACATTGCCAATGTACAGTAATACGTCAGCAGCCCCGCATCAGCTTCCCCTCCCCATTACCAGCGCCTCCCACCCACTGGCAGCCCCACCGATCAGCGCCTCCCCTCTCTTCCCTCACCTCCTGATCTGCTGTTTCGTGGTGTGCAGGAGACTCGGGGGATGGGGGAGAGGAGAGGGAGGAGCGTGGGCATAGCAGGCTCAGGGGAGGGCGCGGGAAGGTGTGGAGGGGGGCAGGGCCTGTGGCAGAGCCAGGGGTTGAGCAGTGAACACCCCCTGGCACATTGGAAAGTTGGCACCTGTAGCTCCATCCCTAGAGTCAGTGCCTATAGAGGGAGCCACATATTAACTTCTGAATAGCCGCATGTGGCTCTGGAACCACAGGTTGGCCACCCCTGGGTTAAGGGGTCTATCCTGGCCCCCATCCTAGCCCCTGGTGTCAGAGTGGGCTGGGAATGACTGAAGCTTACTGCGCTATCATTCTTCTCTGCTTCTGATTTACACTGCAGGCTGGGCTATTCCTCAGGGAAGTGTTAAAGAGACTGCACCTTTGCCCCCCTCACTTACAACATATATGTGGTCAGCACAGAAACAGAGCATTTTTTAATCAAAGCCGAATTCCATGCTGATACTGTAAGATCTTTCAAAATACATGTGATGCCATTGATCATGAGATATGATTGATTCAGCTTTGAACTATAACAGGATTGGGTGGGATTCAGTTCCAGTATTCCTTCATTGCTGAGCCTTCCCAGAAGGTGATGTTGAATAGTTGCTCTTCATCTCCAAGGGCAGTCTCATGTGGTGTCCTATTGAGTTCACCTTCTCTCCCATCCTGTCCAGTGCGTATGGAGCTGTTAAGAGAGTTAGTGAGGAGGAATGGGTTGTGGTACCTTCATATACTGATGAATCCCAGTTTTATTTCTAACCTAATCCAGCCAGTCCTATCAAATAAATTTGCCAGTGTCTCATTGAGATTGGGGCATGAATGAAGGCTAGCTGGCTGAAGCTCTTTCTCAACAAAACTGAGGTGAAACTGGTAGGTTGGAGGAAGCAACTGGAAGGTATAGCGAAGATCCTCTCTCCCTGAAGTGGGGGGTGTTTGCTGGCTGTGAGACTTCACAGTCTAGAGGTATTCTTGGAACCCCAGCTCTTAAATGATAATATAGCAGCAGTTTACTGGAAGTCCTTTTTTCATTTTCATTTGGCCAGGAGAGTATGATTGTTTTCTTTCCCATGTGAAACTTGCCACTATCAACGATGCCTTTCTCACCTCAGATGCGTGCTAATGTGGGACAACACCTAAGATCCAGTCACAAACCAAAGTTAATGCGGAAAGCAGCAGTCCACCTGCTCTGTGGAGTTTCTTACCCTGAGCACATGACACAATGCTCCATGATCTATCCCAGCTGCCTAGTTGTCTCTTGATTAAGCTTAAGGTGTTGATTTTAACCTATAAAGCCCTTGAGTGACTTGGGATCTGCCTACGTGAGCGAGTGCCTCTCTCTTCATATAATATTACCAAACTGCAGGCAGTAGAAAAGCTCCAGCTGGAATTGCCTCAGTATAAACTGTTTACCATGAAGGGCCCCAGTCTTAGATCTTTTGGTCTGAAATAGCCTAAATATGGCACACTGCAGGGCTCGTCTACCTACTCAGATTTTGGGGTACAATAACAGGTTATTGTTTGGGATTTTGATTTCATCTCTAGTTGGGTATTTTCTGGTTTTGGGGGTGAGGAGCAGCTGCTGTTTCAATTTTTTGTGATTGTAATTTTAATTCATGGCAGAAGCCCCTGGAGACCATGATAGGCAATGTATTTTTAAAAAAATAATCAAAAAGAGAAAGAGATCTTTTCTCAAGCATCTGCTGAGAGTCTGATAGCTTAGTCCTCTGAAAATATACTCAGACCTTTCAGTCTACTAGTCCTCAGTCCTTCATGTTGGTTTGTCAGTTGTCTAACACTCTGAAGTACCATTCATGTTATCATAAAGAAGGCTTATGCTAGATTGGGGTAACATTAGAAACATGGCTTTTTGGGTTTACGGAAATAATAAAATTTTAAAAATATATTTCATAACACAGGCAACTCTGTTATGTCTAAATTCTGAGTAAGTGCCAGAGCCATTTGCAAACAAAACAGTTTTCTAAATATTACTGAAGACTATTTACACTAGTACTGACAGATGGCTGTAAGATAGACATTAAAATGGTCCACTTTAACAGTTTATATTGGATTTGGTCACTGTTGTTGTGTTTAAATTAGTAAAAAGAAAGCAAATGACAAAACCATATAGTCTGAAGTTCTTAGGCAAGACTAGTGCATTATGAAGTCAATTATACATGTTGTATTACTATCGTTATTACATAATGACATTTAGAATGGTACTGTGGAAGTAATACATGAATATATGAATGAGTCTGAATATCAGGCAAATAACTATAGACTATATAGAAATAATGGTGCAATCAAGATCCAGCTTTAACAATCTAAATGAGTTTTAATGTTTGATATACACCCAGCACATTTCAAATCTAAAATAAAACAAAATTAAAAAGTTGAATGTTTGTATGTCTTTAAGACGGGTCCGACTCTTGCCAAAAGCTTGTTCCAGTCAGGCCTTAAGGAACTTTATATAAGGGATAATCAACCTGTGATGCCATTCAGTAGTGACATGGCTTCTCCATCTCTTCAACATTGAGTACCATTGTTCTGTAGCTTCAAACTTATTACCCCACGTCACTTATGTTCATAGCTTATTTTCTCATGGTCAGGAGGTTGGAAAACATTTTCCTCCAAGCCTGACACCAATAGTGCTTTGTGATTTTTGGTTGATAAGAAACAGTCATGGAAGGAAGGTGTCAATCTCCCGTCTTGTTGGGACTCTAGCATGGCAACCTCATCCACTGAATTCAAGTTTCCTTTACGCAGCACCTGCTGAAAAAGCCAAGGCTTTGCCCTCTCATAACTACTTTAATTAGCATAATAAAGAAGATAGAAGAAAACAAAAAATGGTGTATTTCCCATTAATATTTGCTTTGGCCCTGTAGGTAAAGTATTTAGGATACATTAAAAGTTGTGCAGTGGGATTATCTATATTCCGTTTGCACACTTGGGCAAATGCTAAAGACTGATAGTTATTCATATTACAGAGAACCATTCATTTATTTCTCTTTTTAAAATTATTCAAGAAAAGAAAACACTGCAAGTAGACTGGTTAAAAAAAACTCAGGCAGCTGGTCGTACGTTAGGTGGTGACCAAGTGAAGGTACTCTGTGTCATTGAAATAGAGAGAGATTGTTGTGTACCTTAGTTTTTCAGATAATATACCAAACCTTTTCTTTTGAACTTTGCTGCTGTTATTCTTTTAATTATTAGGTTGACCTACACTTTATGAAAAAGATACCTCCTGGAGCTGAAGCGTCAAACATTTTAGTTGGTGAACTAGAGTTTTTGGATCGTGCCGTAGTTGCTTTTGTCAGATTGTCCCCTGCAGTATTGCTTTCAGGACTAGCTGAAGTTCCAATTCCAACAAGGTAAGTGTAGATTGTGCTAAAAATATAGATGGTAGTTCATTCCATTTCACATTTTTCTAAATTGCATTTGTGGATGTGGATGGGAATCATCCTTCAGCCCTGTTTTCTATCCAGTTACTAAATGAATTGTTACCTCATAAGAGGGGCACACACCTTACCTTTCCTTTCCTTCCTTTAAATAGTGCATACTTAGGTTAATTATTGGACCTGAGGCCTGTGTGCCCTTCTCAGAAGTAGAAGCAGAAGTGCACTGTTTCTGAAACTATGATGAACGGATTAGCATATTTGAATTACAAACATTACAGAGGAATTGCTAAGAAACTGAAGGAGTAAACAGCAAAGAGGTTGATCAGGTTACCTGGGAGTTCTAATTGTTTGCATAATCCTGCATAACTTTTCCTGAAGGGAAAATGACAAAGGAAATAAATACATTGGTATAAAGAATAGAGCCCATTCCAATTCTTTATTAACTTAGTATTGTTCAAGAGCAGTAGGCATCTGGGGTAAACAGCTGAAAAAGAGAGAACTGAAAGGGGTGATTGGATTCCAGTACCCACAAATTTCACCACTGCTCCTCCCATAGTTTGTTCTCCATGATTAGACCCCTTCCCTTTGCATCCTTGGATTTGGCTTGTATTCTCCCTTTCAGGAGAACCTGGAGAGGGGAAGAAATGAATTCTAACTTTTTATTTTATTGTCTAAATAATTTTAAAATGAAGTAAAAGAGGGGAGAAATTTCCCAGGAAAGCTAAACATTGAGGATGCTACCACAATATAAACAATGATATGCTGATACAAAATGTAGTTGTCTGTGAAAAGTTAAAACTAATTGGGGATTAGTACAAATGTTGGTGGAAATATTAATAATTAATATTTAATTAAATATTAATATTTAGTTAATTTTAATATAAGGGACTAATTGTGGCCCAGCTAATGTGGTGGTGCAGAGTCATTGTGGGTAGCAGAATGGCCGGGGAAGAAGGTTTTTCACAGCCGCCACATCCCCTTCTTGCACAGGTAGGCACAAAATGGGGTGTGGAGTGGACAGAGCCTTAACCTCACCCCACTAATGTGCCAGATAGCATAACTGGACCAATGGACTGGGAACAGAACAGAAGCAGTCTACTCCCTTATCCAAGCAGTGAGGGAACCAGCAGGGAGATCATAACTCTTGGTGATGCAGCAGTGCAGTGCCCATTACTCTGAGCTGATAGCAAAATCATGAGTGTGTTCTGGATAATTATTTGTCCAAGAACTAACTCATGCTAGAAGTGCTCTGTTCATCATTCATTCTTTGCCATTTGCTGATTTTAAACAGAGTAGAAACAAAACCATGTGACTTGGGTGACCAATCATACTCTGACTATTCATTATTCATGGTGTGAGTAGCTTGACCACCCCACAGTAAAAGTGTTCATATAAATACTTGGTGAATACTTATGAATAACAAGTATATTCACTGAATTCAGTTTCTGAGTGATTTGCATGGAGAAAAAAAAGGCTGAATTCTTAATGGATAGTTAGATCAGCTCTAACTGGGTTTGTCACTTTAGTAAACATGAACTTGGAAAACAAATCTGGCTGATGGTTGGCTAACTGGCAAATATATATATGTGTGTGTGTGTGCGCGTGCACCTATACAACTATACGGGGATGAAAACTCTACATACTGCATCTTCTTTATACAACATGGCTCAAGAGCTGGTCAAAATATGGCGAGTATGATCTGCAAAAAACAGGGGAAAAAGCTTCTCAAAATTTTTGATGAAAATTCAAAAACATTTTTGTTTCTGAAACTGAAAATGTTTGGGTTTTGAGTTTTCCAGTTTTCCCCTGCTTTCATTTTGCCGCTAGTAAAAAAAAGTTGGGGTATTTTTTTTAATTGGTTGGGTAAATTAAAGAAAAACTTTCTATGAACAATTTTATTTTTTTAAAATCATCATTTTTTTGAGAAAAAAGTTTACAATGAAAATTTTTTGACAGTTGCTCTATTTGGCAACCCCATGAGCTCTTGGCAGAACATTCCATAGTTCCGATACTTGAAAATAGATGTATAGGGAATGGCATAGAGGAGGACTAGAATCCTCTTAAATAAAAGACATAGTGAGAAGACGACAATACTTATTTCCCACACTTTGTGTGTCTGTCTGTCTGGGGATAGGGTATCTTCCATAATTTTGCAAAAATGCTACATACTGATAATATATGCTTCTGTCAAAAGTACTTTTGCCTAATCTTTAGGATACCCACAATTTAATTGCATGTTTGTGGAACCTAAGTGAGTTTGGGTATTTACAGCTATTCAGACCATCTCTGAATGCTCCTTGCATAATACACATTTATGTAATATTTTGTAATTGTGTCTCCAATTTTAAATTACCATGTAAGGATATTTAGAGAGAGGTTATTTCCCCCCCTTTACTTCCTCTAATCAATTTTATGAACTTTTCTGTGTTACATGATGTTAATTTAAGTTTTCCATTCTTGAAATATCTGGTTTTTGGCTTTTTATTTGCAGATTTTTGTTTATTCTTCTGGGACCACTAGGGAAGGGCCAACAGTACCATGAGATTGGAAGATCAATTGCAACACTAATGACAGATGAGGTATTTATCGATTAACTGTAGTTTGTTTGTACAGGTTTCAGAGTAGCAGCCGTGTTAGTCTGTATCCGCAAAAAGAAAAGGAGTACTTGTGGCACCTTAGAGATGAACAAATTTATTTGAGCATAAGCTTCCGTAAGCATAAAATTTATTTGAGCATAAGCATCTCACTTCATCAGATGCATGCAGTGGAAAATACAGTGGGGAAATTTTATATACACAGAGAACATGAAACAATGGGTGTTACCATACACACTGTAACGAGAGTGATCAGGTAAGGTGAGATATTACCAGCAGGAGAGAAAAAAAACGAAAACAAAAACAAAAACAAAAAGAAACCCCTTTTGTAGTGATAATCAAGGTGGGCCATTTCCAGCAGTTGACAAGAACGTGTGAGGAACAGTAGGGGAGAGAGGGGGGAAATAAACATAGGGAAATAGTTTTACTTTGTGTAATGACACATCCACTCCCAGTCTTTATTCAAGCCTAAGTTAATGGTGTCCAGTTTGCAAATTAATTCCAATTCAGCAGTCTCTCGTTGGAGTCTGGTTTTGAAGTGTTTTTGTTGAAGAATTGCAACTTTTAGATCTAAAATTGAGTGACCAGAGAGATTGAAGTGTTCTCCTACTCATTTTTGATTGCTGTAATTCTTGATGTCAGATTTGTATCCATTTATTCTTTTACGTAGAGACTGTCCAGTTTGGCCAATGTACATGGCAGAGGGGCATTGCTGGCACATGATGGCATATATCACATTGGTAGATGCGCAGGTGAACAAGCCTCTGATAGTGTGGCTGATGTGATTAGGCCCTATGATGGTGTCCCTTGAATAGATATGTGGACACAGTTGGCAACGGGCTTTGTTGCAAGGATAGGTCCTGGGTTAGTGGTTCTGTTGTGTGGTGTGTGGTTGCTGGTGAGTATTTGCTTCTGGTTGGAGGGCTGTTTGTAAGCAAGGACTGGCCTGTCTCCCAAGATCTGAGAGTGATGGATCGTCCTTCAGGATAGATTGTAGATCCTTGATGATGCGTTGCAGAGGTTTTAGTTGGGAGCTGAAAGTGATGGCTAGTGGTGTTCTGTTATTTTCTTTGTTGGGCCTGTCCCGTAGTAGGTAACTTCTGGGTACTCTTCTGGCTCTGTCAATCTGTTTCTTCACTTCAGCAGGTGGGCACTGTAGTTGTGAGAATGCTTGATAGAGACCTTGTAGGTGTCTGTCTCTGTCTGAGGGGTTGGAGCAAATGCGGTTGTACCATAGAACTTGGCTGTAGACAATGGATCGTGTGGTGTGGTCTGGATGAAAGCTGGAGGCATGTAGGTAAGTATAGCAGTCAGTAGGTTTCCGGTATAGGGTGGTGTTTATGTGACCATTGCTTATTAGCACTGTAGTATTCAGGAAGTGGATCTCTTGTGTGGACTGGTCCAGGCTGAGGTTGATGGTGGGATGGAAATTGTTGAACTCATGGTGGAATTCTTTTCCATGGGTCCACATGATGAAGATGTCATCAATGTAGCGCAAGTAGAGTAGAGGCATTAGGGGACGAGAGCTGAGGAAGCGTTGTTCTAAATCAGCCATAAAAATGTTGGTATACTGTGGGGCCATGCGGGTACCCATGGGAGTGCCGCTGATTTGAAGGTATACATGGTGAAATAGTTATGGGTGAGGACAAAGTCACAAAATTCAGCCACCAGGTTTGCCGTGACATTATGGAGGATACTATTCCTGATGGCTTGTAGTCCATCTTTGTGTGGAATGTTGGTGTAGAGGGCTTCTACATCCAAAGCCCGTTGCCAGCTGTGTCCACATATCTATTCAGGGGACACCATCATAGGGCCTAATCACATCAGCCACACTATCAGAGTCTCATTCACCTGCACATCTACCAATGTGATATATGCCATCATGTGCCAGCAATGCCCCTCTGCCATGTACATTGGCCAAACTGGACAGTCTCTACGTAAAAGAATAAATGGATACAAATCAGATGTCAAAAACTACAACATTCAAAAACCAGTCGGAGAACACTTCAATCTCTCTGTCACTCAATTACAGACTTAAAAGTGGCAATTCTTAACAAAAACACTTCAAAAACAGACTCCAACGAGAGTCTGCTGAATTGGAATTAATTTGCAAACTGGACACCATTAACTTAGGCTTGAATAAAGATGGGGAGTAGATGTGTCATTACACAAAGTAAAACTATTTCCCTATGTTTATTTCCCCCCTCTCTCCTCTCACACGTTCTTGTCAACTGTCAGGTTCCTCACACGTTCTTGTCAACTGCTGGAAATGGCCCACCTTGATTATCACTACACAAGGGTTTTGGGTTTTGTTTTTTTCTCTCCTGCTGGTAATAGCTCACCTTACCTGATCACTCTCATTACAGTGTGTATGGTAACACCCATTGTTTCATGTTCTCTGTGTATATAAATCTCCCCACTATATTTTCCACTGCATGCATCCGATGAAGTGAGCTGTAGCTCACGAAAGCTTATGCTCAAATAAATTTGTTCGTCTCTAAGGTGCCACAAGTACTCCTTGTTGTTTGTTTGTACAGTTATTTCAAACTGAGGATGACCCCAAACCAAAAAGTTCACCAGGCTCAGTGCCCATCTGTACTCCTGAAATACTTTGCCAACCTGCCTAATTAGTGGGAATCCCCATCATTTTAAGTCCGTCTTTGAGAAACTCTCTTTGAACAGTTGGCAACTACATCCTGATGTTAGCCCATAGCTAATAAATGTATAGGTCTGTGAAGTCATTTGCAGAGTTGCTGTAACATTTTAATGAAAATATTGTCTATAACTGACCTACCTGCAAGCTTACTAACACTTCTAGGTGACTAGATAGCTGAGGATCACTTATCTCAGGCACTTACTTTTGTCTCTGAACCCTTGTATTTCAGCATTTTTATTTTGTAGTATAAGGTTCAACACCATGATTATATTCCTGCTGCTGCAGCCAAATACACAGACATGCTTTTCTAATCTATCTGGCTTTTTTCAATAAAGTTGCATGGATGTAAGCAAAGATAGGATTTGAGCCTCCAATTGGAACATAGTTTAACCGTTCTTACGATGTGCAAACAGAACTAGAATCCAGTTTATGATCCCATAGCTGTGATGGTTAGAGGAAGAAACTTTTGTCATTGAAGTAAGCAGATACAAAATTCACACTCACGGATCAGATCTGTTGAATAGGAAAATGCCATTTTTACAGAGTCACTTTTCAGTGGAACCAACCACACTTTTTAAACTGTAAGATCCTTGGAAAATTCAGCAATCTTGAAGGGTGCTTTCCACACTGGCTATCTTACTAGAAACTACATCTAGTTCAAAACTGTGATTCAGTTTAAAACTGAGGAAATAAATAAGTTACATACCATGTTGGAGAAGTGGATATCATGAAGGATTTTACACTCTTGTTTACATGTAAAATGAGAATCTCTTGTATTTCACTTCTTTTGTTTTCTTTAACAGGTATTCCATGATGTTGCTTATAAAGCTAAAGATCGTAATGACTTGGTTTCTGGAATAGATGAGTTTCTTGATCAGGTTACAGTTCTCCCTCCTGGAGAATGGGACCCAACAATTCGAATAGAGCCACCCAAAAATGTTCCCTCTCAGGTATGCACAGTGCAAATTAGAGTTTCTAATAGTTTAGTGGACTAGAAATGTTGTAAGATAAAGTCTTTTATTAATCTTCTATGACAATACATGTAGGAAGCTGAAGTATGAACTTCCATGCATTACTTTGCTGTTTAACTTACTCACACTGACCCTTGACTGGCAAGAACAATACCCTGTGGTGCTGAGACTGATGTTCATACTTAGTTCAGTTCTCGGCCTCTTCTGAGCAGAGACAAATAGTTGTATGAAATAGAACAAAACAAGTGCATTGATTTTGACTTTGTGTTACTTAGATACTAGAATGACAGGTGCGTTAGAAGTATCTGAGAGAGAAACTGCTCTCCAATAGACCACATACTCATTTAATTATTTTGTGGGTGTAAAATGTCTTTTGTTCATTTCTAAGCTGATCTAGTGATTTTTTAAAATAATCTAAAGGCCTTTTGTTCATGTAATCCTCTCTGGGCAAATTATGCTCTTATCTGTGTGCTGCTTATTCTATAGAAGAGCAGCCATAAGAGACCTAATATCAATAATAGGATATCAGTAACACAAAACAAAATGCTGTACACACTCTTCCCCCTGGGGAGAGGATGAAAAAAAACATGTGACAGATGTTAGTCACCTTGCTTAATGCACTACTGGAAGGCACACAGATACTATGGTGAAGAGCGCTATACAAGAACCTATATACAGCAGTATAGACTAGAATAGTCGGTGTAAATCATTGTTTTGGATAAAACAATCACTTTATTACTTTACTTCAAAGGATATTGGTTGCCTAGTTTTCAAAGGGCAGGACTGTAAAAGCAATGATACAGTTTTACTCTTTCTATGGTCCTTGTTGCACTTCAAATAAGAAATCAGTAAGTTAAGTAAACTCACTTTAAGATTGAAGCAAAGGAGAGAAATTGGTACAAGATCTCTATCATCCATAGAAATGATTAATAAATGAGAATGTTGTGAAGCCATTGTTACTCTGCAGAAACATAGATATTTGAAATGTATTTTGTTTTATTTTTAAACTGTGACCTTGGCCTCCCTAGATACACACCATTCTCATCAGGATAGGTGTAAGCAAGTCCAGGAATAAAGAAATATTTTTGTTCAAACTAGATTGCGTTCCTAAACTGTTAATTAATTGTTAGTACATGTTCAACAAATGGTTAAATGGCTTTTAAAATGCAATCTATTTTTCTACTGTTCGATTATAATTGTACTGCATTTTAAATTGTTTGGCACCTCAAGCCTCTTGGCAAGGGAATGCTTGTCACATAAATATTATTTTGTTTATTGTTATATTCAAAAGATGGGTCTGTTTTTGCTGAGTTGCTGGTTTTAAGTGGAAATATAATGACCTAGAAAAAGAGAATAGATATAAAACATCCTAGTTTGTTGTTGATTTAAAATGGGTTTTGGGGGTTTTTTTGGCACAATTTCCTTGGACCCAATTTTGTATTTATTTTTTTTACAACAAAGGAACCCCTTATGATATTTTCATATATAAGACTCTTCCACACCTTATGGGTGCAACACCATGTTTGGGAAACCTTTGAGATTGATTTACAATTATTGCAGCACTTAAGGGTTCAACTTCTAGCCACAATGGGCTAAGTCTACGGGACAGAGCCTTAAGGATAGGTAGATCCACTGCACACTGAATTAAGCAATTCTGAAACAGGGAAGGGGCTGAGATGAGTCATACTTGCTGCAAAGGAGGTGGGTGCTTCTCTGCTAGCTGGGAGATAGAGACATAAAGTACATAAGAGAATCCTCATCCCATTCTACACCCAAGTAAGCCAATCTCTTCTGTACCTGTGCTGGGAGTTACTGCAGACCTTAGCCAACAGGGAAGAGAGGGAGTCAGGAATATATACAATATTTGTTTACATTAAAAATGGTGGAATAGTCACAGGGAGCCTGCATAGCTGTGGAGCAAGGGATTGTCCTCCAGCCCTGACTGATCCTTTTGTCACTCTCTTGTTAATAGCAGCAGTCCCTTTGATCCCTCCCTGCTGTGGGACGGAGGTGATATCCCAAGTGACTTGTTAATTGCCGCAGATGGTGGTCAAGATGGAGCCAGGGTAAACTAGCCTATTCAGTAGCCTGCGTGTCTTCCTGGTGTCAGTAACACCCTTGCTGGGACATGGGTCCAGCTTCTAGCCCATGCCCACACCTGGACTTTGCTGTGCTTTCCTCCTGAAGAGAAGCAGCTTACCATTGGAGAGTGCTGGTACCATGGCCACCACAGAGAGCTCCTATTGACTGAAACCATCTCACTTCTGGCTCTACTGCTATCTCCACTCCTGCGGAGAGAGGGTTGCTTTGGAAGCTTAGAAGTGGTGCTACTAACTGAGCGGCAGTGCTGCTACACCCTACCGTTTGCAAGTTGCTTCTCCTGGGTCAGAGCACCCTGACCTATTTGGAGGCAGCACAGCTTCATTCAGATGACAACACCCCACAGAATGGACACGCACACAATTCTGTAAATGCACATCCCTTTCACTTCTGCATAGAAACTGAAAAGGATACTCTACAGAAAAAATACCTGACTGCGCCACGTGCCTACTTGTGTCCTTTGCTAAAACTGCATTTTGGGGTGAAACTCAATAGAAAATGGCTTTTCTTTCTTCTAGGAGAAGCGCAAGATCCCAGGAGTGCCAAATGGAACAGCAGCTCACGGAGACCCGGTACCCCTAGGAGGACACAGTGGACCAGAATTGCAACGGACTGGAAAGTTAGTGGAAAACTTGATTAAATGTGATATTATTATTTTTTTAAGCAATATACTTCCAAAAGGAAGTCTAATGGCCTGATTCTCTCTCAACTATACTGATATAGCATGTCACTGAGTTCACTGTAATGGAGTTATTCCTAATGTAAGTATCTCTAAATGAGTGGAGAAACAGGCTTAGTTGCTAATTTGCATCATCAGTTATCTATGGAATATGTTTCTACTCTCTTTATTTAATGTAAGCTCCTTTTTCAATAATATATGATGGTCAAGCCACTGGTAATCATGATTAATGCTGTTTGTTCTGTCTAGAGTGAAAGGAATGGTGGAAGAAGTCTGCTCTCATTTGTGACAAAAACTTAGACTATTTTCTAGTTGAGCATGTTTAGAGGCAGAGTCGTGCAGCCCTGGCTTTTCTTTAAACATACTAGGCCAAAATATTCAGCTCCCATTGACATAAATTATTGTTGTGTGTGCACGTGTCTGAGGACCTAAAGTATACACTTTAGGGGAGTTCTTTTCTAATATAATATTTTTAAACACATGGGCTTTTATTGGGCTCAGGAATTCCTTCTATGCAAGGAAGATCCACAGGTTTGTTGTTAAACCAGCTTTAGCATTTTTGTACTGCCAGAATGGAGCAAAGCAGATGGATTGTACAGAAGGATCTAGCTCAGAAGTTTAATATATTTATTTATTGATGTACTTGGTGCAGTACAAACCACAAAGGAAAACACAGTCCTTATCCTGAGAAGATTATATCCTACATTCAATTCCAATAAATAATACACTTGAGGCCAAATTTTTAAATAACAAGGATCAAGATCATGTATATTTTGTGCCGGGAAACAGGGCATTTGTGCAAGCAACTGTACATTATGATATCCATTTGTGTATGCTCTTATGGTAATTCTATGCACAAGTGCAATGTATGCGTGGTAGCAATTGTGTCCCTAGCCTCTGTTTGCCAGAAGCTGGGAATGGGCAACTGGGGGTGGATCATTTGATGATTTACCTGTTCTGCTCATTTCCTCTGGGGCACCTGGCATTGGCTACTGTCAGAAGACAGGATACTGGGCTAGATGGACCTTTGGTCTGACCCAGTAGGGCCGTTCTTATGTTCTTACGCAGATAATAAAGTATTTTGTGCATAACACTCTAGTAACTTTTTAAAAAATCTGGGCCTTTGTGACTTTGATCGCTGTCAAAAAAGTGTGGAGATGAGTTTGTTTTAAATGTACACATCTGTCCCTTAGTGGGTTGCTGTGCATACAACTCACACAAAGAATCAGGCGCAAAAAGGATGAGGTTGCAGTGACCAAAGTGAGAGATGATCAAGGTATGGGAAAGTGTGTTTACAGTAGGAATGTAGGAGACTATATTTTAGAAACTTAGAGGAAGAAATAACAGTCTCTAGTAAGAAACTGGATCATGTGGAATGACAGTGCTGTTCTTATCTGTGCTGGAGAAGGGAGGGGATATGAAGGTTAGGAAGGAAAAATGGCAGTGTTTGCCATGTTTCAGAGTAGCAGCCGTGTTAGTCTGTATTCGCAAAAAGAAAAGGAGTACTTGTGGCACCTTAGAGACTAACCAATTTATCTGAGCATAAGCTTTCGTGAGCTACAGCCATGTTGAGTCTGAGATGGCAGTAGCACAGACAGACACAAATATCTGAGAGGCATTTGAAGATGCAAGACTTGAATAGGAGTGGAAGGATTGGAAGCTGATTTAGAAGACATTGACCAAGAGATAATAATTAAAGCCAGGGGACCATTTGAATTAGCCCAGGGGGAGAGAGAGTAGAGGAAGAAATAGAGGGGACTGAGAACAAAATCCTTTGGGACCAACAGTAAAGAGTGGGAAAAGAGAAGACTGCAAGCGGCACTCATCCAAAGAAATTCTGAAAGTTTGATAGCTTGATAGGTGTAATCAAGGAGAGAGATATGTGGAAGTGTTATGACGGAATAGACAACTCTTGCAGAATGGGTGATACTTGAAGTGGTACAGTTAGCTCAGTCTGTTCTGTGTGAAATAGGACCTGCCATATAACATTTTTACTGGCATTATTTATATAAAAAGTCCCTTTCTGGAAAGGAAAAGACTTTAGACCAGAGCATCAGCTGGTGTAAATCAGTATAGCTGTATTAAAGTTAATGGAATTATGCAGGTTTCCCCCATGTGAGGAACTATCATTTGATTTAAAGAACACAATGACATGAGATCAGGAACTGGGTTTACATATGAGTCAATGCTATTTAAGAACTTTCTTTTGTTGTTTGCTCTGTGTCCCGTCTTCCTCGGGGCTACTTTTTGGATTGTCTTGAAGAATGTGTGTGCAGATGCCTCTTCACCACCACAGAAACTCAGGCAGGGTACTGAATGACACTGTTTGGCCCAGAGACTGTGTGAATCTTGCACCATTTATGAAAATGTAGCCTGCTGCTTCCTAGTACTGTCAGAACTCCTTACAGAGGGAAAGAACTCACTAGAAAGCTTCTTTTGAGAACAGATTTTAAATTGTGAATAGCCAGCGAAGGCTAAGTACTACATATCTCTGTGAGTAGTTCCATCAGTCCATCTCAGTGGACTACTCATGGATCAAAGTAGTACTCAACATGAGTAAAGATGCGAGAGAAGTATTCTAGGGCAGTAGCAGGTGTCAGATGAAAAAGAGGAAGGATAGTTCATTGGTTTAAGGCACTAGCTCTGGGACTTGGGAGACCTGGGCTCAAGTTCCTGCTTCCTTTGTGACCCTGGGCAAGTCACTTGGTGTCTCTTGTCCCTCTCTGTGAAGTGAAGATAATAGCAGTGCCCCACTTCACATCAGTTTTAGGAGGATAAATACTGTCAAGATTGTGAGGCACTGAGATTGGGGGCAGGAAACACAATTACCTTAGATTTCACATGTACAGGTCTCATAATTCATCCCAGTGGTGAAAGAAAACAGAACTCTTTCTTTCTGTCTTTATTTTTTCCCCTTTTCTTAGGTTTTTTGGGGGATTGATTTTAGATATCAAAAGAAAAGCTCCCTTCTTCTGGAGTGACTTCAGGGATGCTTTCAGTCTGCAGTGTCTAGCATCATTTTTATTTCTCTACTGTGCTTGTATGTCTCCTGTCATCACGTTTGGCGGTCTGCTGGGAGAAGCAACTGAAGGTCGTATAGTATGTGTTTTACTTTAATCTGAACTTTTAAAACACAATTACTTGTTTAGGTTTGTGGTTAGAATTTTCTTAATATTGCATGTGTCGCCTTTAAAATGTTGTAGTCTGAAACTGCATTGTCACCCACAGTATTTGAACACTTGATAGAAAATTTCTGAAAGTTCAATCTTTTTTTTTTTTCACATGCAGAGTGCAATAGAATCTTTGTTTGGAGCATCCATGACTGGAATAGCCTACTCTCTCTTTGGTGGGCAGCCTCTTACTATACTAGGCAGCACGGGGCCAGTGCTGGTGTTTGAAAAGATATTATTCAAATTTTGCAAGTAAGTGAAGTAATATTATTTAAATAAACATTCAGTGGGTATTTTTGATGTATGGGTGTGTTTGTGACTAAAACATCATTATAAATCCCCTGGCAGCATGCTGAAAATTTGCCTATCTGTAATTTAGATTTGGTTATCCTTTTCATGTGTGACTTCATGAACTACATTTTAACTGATGACAAAATTAGAAATATAACAAAGGCACAGTCCCACGTTAGTCCATAGGAGGCGTTGATACCTCTCGGCATAAAATGAGAATTCAGGATTTTGGGAAACATTGCTCAGACTTTTAGAGGAACGCTGGAAGATACGTGGTGACCAAAACAAAGGGGACTGTTAATGATAAACTGTGTTTTTTAATTTTTTACTTTAAAACTGTTCTGAAAGGAATACAAACCCAGATTGGTATGAGGTTGCTTCCCATTCCAAAATGATTAAATTTAAATCTCATGAATGGAAACCACCCTATAAAATAAGACATACTTCATGGCTTTTCAGCATTTTATCATTCATTAACAACATAGTCAGCAGTGTTGACTGCTGGCGTTGAGCAGCATCTCCTAATCCATGAAATAAATGTGATTATAACCTTTCTTCCTGTCTCCTGTCTCTTGAAAAAGAACTAAATAAAATGTAAGCAAAACCTGCACTTATATGCTAATACACTGTAAGTAAGTTCCTTCTGAGACAATATGAATGAAAATTGTGCTTACACTGTCAGCCAGTCATGGTGGGTTCCTGAGATCCAGGGCCTGATGTGGGCAGATGGCTACCCATCCTACACACTTCTTCCCATGGGTCCCATCTACTTGGTCTGCCTCATTTTTACAACTGGGACTTCTGAGGCAGAAAGGCTTGATAGCAGAGTAAATCCTCCTGATGAACAGTGCAGAGTGGGGGGCCCTGTCAGTTCCCGAAGGTCATTCCCTCTCATCTCCATGATAGGAAAAGACTTCCCAGCTCTTCGTGCAGGTTAGCTGGGACCAAAATATATGTGGTCCTAGAATGCCCCGTGTATGATTATGTATAGCCAGCACAGAGGGTTTTGCTCTAGGTTGTGGACAGAGAGTGGAGGGTGAGGGTCTGTGTGAATGAGGCAAGACTTTGAGACTATTATATCTTGCTGATCATAACCACTTATTGTCTTGCACTTTTGAAGTTGAAGAAAACAGGCCGATGTAGGGATCTACCACTTTTGCTGCTCACTCAGGATTAGAGTCATCCAAAGATCGCCTTTGAGGGTATACTCTCATACACAACTGCTTCTCATTGTTCCCTTTAGTAGCACGCTCAGGCCAAATGAGAATCTGGCTTGAAGACATCTGACTTCATTTCATGAAAGGAAAGCAATTCTGAATTACAAGGGCCTTCACATTTCTTCACTACTTTCTTTTTTTTTATTGAAAAAATGTAATTGGGAAATCTGTAATTCTTCTAGTTTGTTTTACAATTAAACAGTGAGACAGCAAAAATAATAATAATAATAATAAAAAAATCCTGAATTAACTGGGAGCATTAATTACATTTTGATCGAGCTTTTCATTAAAAAGGGATCTGGCCACTGCAAAGTACAATTGAAATCCATGGCCTATTTTATAACTTGTGGTGTTCAATACTATTAAAAAGGGAGTAAATGAATAATATGACTATATCTGTGTGGATTATCTCTAGGTTTTTTTTTATAGAGGTGGAAACTGCATTACATGAGCAACTATGCAGGTTTCCTCCTTGGTGAGCTAACCAACATAGTACTTGACTGTCAGGACAGTATTATGTCCAGGGCCAATGGTGGCTTCAAGATGGACATTAATACACCATAGTAGTCATAAAGTAGCAGGTTCTGCTCACATCTCTGTTCCCAGATAGAGTGCTACAGTGTATTTTAGTCTTCTGTTGGGCATTAGGGCTAGCTGTGTTCTTTGCTTCTTGCAGATGGACAGCCTCCTTGGATTCAGTCTTTCTAGAGATGACTTTTGTGTTTGGCAGGTCAAGAGAGGATATAAAAAATGCACATAGCTGCACAGAGTGGATTTTTGTGGTGTTTCCTCTTCTGTGTCTACGAATTAATGTTTTGACTGTGTTAATTTTTCTTTTTTTTTATTAGAGATTATGGGTTATCATACCTTTCTTTGAGAGCTAGCATTGGACTATGGACTGCAACTCTATGCATCATCCTTGTTGCAACCGATGCAAGTTCCCTAGTCTGCTACATTACCCGGTTTACTGAAGAAGCATTTGCTTCTCTTATCTGCATCATTTTCATTTATGAGGCCTTAGAGAAGCTATTTCATCTCGGTGAGACGTATCCAATCAACATGCATAATGATTTGGAACTGCTGACTCAATACTCGTAAGTAAGATTTCTTTTATTAACCATGGCGTCTTCTTTTTCATAAATTATATTTTCCCTGTGAAGAATATGAATGGTTCACAGCAGGAAAAGCACTTTCATGCTTGAGACACATTGCTTGACATACAGCAACCTATAGATGTGATAAAGTCAATCCAATGTTTTTCAAAACTATAATTGCTTCATGTCCTGTAGGGGTCATTCCTCCTTTTGGTTCATGTGATCATAATGGGAGCTGTGTGCATGTACTGGGGGGAAAATAACACCTGTTAGTGCCTGATTCTGCTGTGTGGAGGCTGTAGTGGTAAAAAAAACAAAACAAAACAGTGTGATAAACTTACCTAAACTAAACTCCCATTCCCTAAATGAGAAGTGGGTAAACTCAGTTTACCCTTGACTGCACTATTACTATGATACAGGCAGAACTACGGTTCATTTCAGTGAGATTTTTGCCTTCATCAGAACTGGATGGGGTGGGACCCTTCTTTTATCATACATTTTGGCTTATAATGATTGTTTTCTTGAATTCTATTTTCTTCCTGCTCTCATCATTGTAAGGATCTTTTTTTTAAAAGGGATATTGATTTACCTGGGGTAGGATTCTGCCCTTGGTACACTGAGGTATTCTCGTCCCATTTCCTAAGAAGACAAAACAAGACAAACACACACAGATTGGGAGAGAAAGAACAGCTAAGATAGAAAATGTAGCTTCTGTCTCTGGAGTTGACTCTCATTCTCAACCTTGCTGCTGGAGAAACACAGGCACAGCATGTGGTCTTATCAGCCACCCCAAGACCTGGCAAACCTGTACCAACACTGAGCTGTTTAGGTCATTGCATTTAGCTGCCTTTCTGGTCACAGGCTTACAGCAGTGTTGTAAAATATAGCGTCTTGGCTGGCTAAGACAGACTCTTATTTGACAGAAAGAGAAAAGAGAGGAATAGGAAAGAGAAGAAATAAGGTGGAAGGAAAAGGATGCACTGGGGGTGAATGACAAAGCCTCACATCCCAGATGGTATTTCGGAGTCAGCTGGAGATGGTAATATTGGAAGTGGCAAAGTCATCTTGGTCCCTCTCTAGCCCAGTCTGGTCAGCACATCTCTCAGGATTAAGATGAAGAAGGTCCGGGGTCCCAGGAAATGGTGGGTGTGGCAGCCATGATAGTGAAGCTCGCTCCTTCCCCGTCTTTCAGCCAGCCAGTGTCGCTGGTAACCACCTATGTTTTTCCCCCAAAGTCTCTTTTTCAAGAACCCCAAAAGGGAGTGATGGGCAAAATAGCCCATCCCCTCATTATTTCGTCCACCAAATGAGCCTAATTTCTGAGAGACCAATTTTGGTTCACTGATTTCTGGTTCCACACTTTTCTTTCTTACCAAGCATGACCTTCACACAGTCCTTGCGTTATATCAGTAGAGCCCCCACCCCTTTTTTTGGACCAGTTCAGTCTTTGTCTCACTTTTGCTCCTTTTTTTATCAACATTTATTGTTGTAGGCTATTGCAATATTCCATGAACTTTCACTCACTTCTCATAGCTGAGCTCACAATTAGGGCACATCTGTAGGCCCAGTTGTAATAGGAGAGGAAAACCTCCAGGCTGATGATGGGAGGGTGTGGGAATAGGGAAATCCTAAACTGGCAGTCAAGGTTCCATCAGAAACCTGCCTGGTTTCTGTCAGAATTTCATTGAAATTGACACGGTTCAGCAGAATGATTTGATTTTGGCAAATCAATGTTTTCCAACAGAAAAATGTTCCATCAGAAAATTTCCAATCAGCTCTAGCATTAATAATGAGACTGTTATTAGTTAGAGTCAACTATGAAGTGCAACATTTTATAGGACATAATTTAGTTTGTACAAATATTTCAAATAAAATGTTATTGCAATTTAAACTGTGTGATTTTTCTGGGAAATTACAGTCAGTGAAGCTGTTTGCAATGTTGTAGCTGTGTTGGTCCCAGGATACTAGAGAGACAAGGTGGGTGAGGTAATATATTTTACTGGACCAACTTTTATTGCTTGTCTCTTTCACTAACAGAAGTTGTTCCCCAATGGTCCTCCTGACTCTCATTCAGTGAAGTTTGTTTTCATTTTAAATATATTTAAGTTTCTTGCCAGAGTAGCTCCATGTACCTTCTCATGGACTTAATAACAGTATGGATTGGAAGGATTGGAGTTGTCTAGTGCAGTGTGGTTAAAGTAAAGGAATGGGAGCTGGGACTCCTGGGTTCTATTCCTTGTTCCATCACAGACTTTTGTTTCCTTAAGCAAATCATTTCATCTCTTGTGTGCCTCAGCTTATCTATCGATAAAAGCTGTAAAACAGATATTGTGAGGTTTAATTAGTGTTAATAAATTAATTACTATTTTGGTAAAGTAATTTAAGATATGTGGATGTGAAATGCTATAGAACTGCAAAATATTAGTTTTAACATGAATGTAGTACAGTTCTGCTCCTAACATAGACAGGTCTCCCTGCTCTACATCCTACATTCTCCTTGTCATTGTAAATGGACACAGTCATCTTCTTCACATCCCAGTCCTGAACTGTTGTGCTGATGCATTTCACAGCAAAAAACGGTTGCATTTCAGTAGTGAGTAAAATGATTCCTATGTGCAATTATACCAAGTGCTTTGAGATGAAAGGCACTATGCCCTGGTTTTGCACAGCTTTACTTTTCAGATTTTTACTTAATATATTGCTGAATGGTTCATTACAGTAGTGTAGTATTAGTGCTCTATAATTTTCTTTGCAAGCACTTTACTTTATTGTTTATTAAAATAAAATTTAAAACAACATGTATATAGTATTTCTCTGTTGTCATTTTTACATATCTAATTTTTTCTTTCCATACAGGGTTATAGTTTCCATATAAGGGAGGGCAGAATATGATCTCTGGACTATGGCATTAAGGGCCTGAACCTGAGAAGTGAAATGAGTGAGTGCAGGTGTTCAGGACCTCTCAGTATCAGGTCTTGGTTACTGATTCTTCCTTGTGATGTTTAATGAGCTTTTTGAGATGGCTCTTTCAGCTTAAGAATCTTTACTTTATTGTTGCATTCTGAAAGGTGCATGTGGAAGAAGAGATTCAGAGAATAAAGAAGTGAAGTAAGATAACAAGGACAGTTATTAAGAAGTAAGAGCTTATGGATTCACTTATGTTATATGAGAACAAAAATAGTCTAATGAAAAAGGACAGAATCTAGTTGCACCCTGGGGCTGAGGATGGCCAGTCTCCTCAGCCAGTGAAACATGTCAAAAAGCATTCTCAGGCAGGAGACCCACTCCAGAAGTATGTGTTTTTAATGATTTTGTTGAACTCAGATGAACTCTCTGCGTAGGGAAAGAAACAGCAACACTAGGGCAAGGCCACCACCTTCTGTTCCAAGAGAGAATAACAGTGACTCAGCCAAACCTGTCATTTGCATTTTGAGCTGGAAAGAAAGAAAAAAATAAAACCACAAGACCAAGAAGCATTGGAACACATTGTTATATGTTGTTTTCTCTGAAAATATAGATAGAGAGTCTGGAGCTGAGCACACATATACGTGCACACAACCCTGTGGCCTGGGACTAAGTGTGATCCCCGCTACCTGGGGCTGACAGCTGGAGCCCCACTGCCCAGGGCTGAAGTTGCAGAGGTCACGTAAAATCACAGAATCCGTGATCTCCGTGACCGACTCATAGGCTTACTAATAAGTTATGGTTTGATATATATATACTTTCTCATCATATTATGCAAGTACTCTTCCTCTGTGATATTTTAACCTAAAGAATAGACATGTGTTTATTGGCTTTTCTCCTAATTCACATTCAGGCAAAGCAGACTATGTATATGCATCAGATATGAAATCCTGACCCCACTGAAGTCCATAGAAGTTTTGCCACTGACTTCAATGGAGTAAGGATTTCACCTTAAGGATCTTTATAGGATGTAATTTGTGGAGGGTTTTTTTTAGGATATGTGTGGGCAGGGCAGGGAGTGTTTTCACAAGCCTCAATACCTCTGGGCATTTAGGGAGTCAAAAGGTTGTTCTCATAATATTTCTGTTCATGAAAAGTTGAAATATTACATGAAGGCCTCAGAGAGCAAGCAGACATTAAAAATATCTCATGGGTTTACCCAGGCCAGTTCCAGGCACCAGCAAACCAAGCAGGTGCCTGGGGTGGCAAATGTAAAGGGGCGGCAAGACATCAGGCTTGGCAGCAATTCAGTGGGGACGTGACTCTTCTTCGGTCACTGGCAGCAATTCGGTGGCCGCACCATCACTCCGCCTCCACATTCGGCGGCAAGGTTTTTCGTTTTGTTTTTTTTTGCTGCTGGGGCGGCAAAAACACTGGAGCCGGCTCTGGGTTTACCTTAATCACACAATATTATTCAAGTTATTGTGGAAATAGAATTAACAGCCTTCCTATGTACAATAGAGCTGCAGTAGTATATATCTCCATATTTTAAGGGATAACATCAATATACTCAATTGATAATGGTGGCATTTAAAAATAAAAATTCGTGTTAAATTATAATTACATACAGTCATTAGAACACCTGATGTATTTCTGAGGGGGAACTGTTTACTCCCTATGCACGCTTGACAAATATCTACCCTATCTTTTCTTTTTGCTGCTTTTCAATGCATATAGAACTTGCAGGGCACTAACAGCAGGAAGAAGAGTGCCAACCAAATTGTCATCATCCCCTCAAACTCTAGCTTTGGGACTTCCTGTCCTATAACATCAGCCAAACAGTGTCAGAATTTCTAAGCACAACGCCCCAAAAAGCATGTGCCTTTCAGATGTTTTCCAAATATCTGAACATTACTTCATTCTTTCAGATGATACTGTACTGACATTACATAACTATCTATCAAATTTCCTTCAGTTACGAAAATGTACATTTATTTGCACTTTTACATTGTGTCTCACTTTGTGTAGGCCTAACTGGTATTTATACCCATATCTTCCACCTGTATGCATGCCCTAGGATTATTTATGCCAGCTAG